GGAGATACTGCTTCTCTGGATCAGGTATAATTCCTGCTTTGTCTTTTGGTTCAGATCTGGTTCGATTATGGTTCAAGTAGGATCCTTGAATATTGTATTCTAAATTTAGGGAATATGATTCCCAATTGGAAGAAGGTAGGAAAATTTTTGAAATTCGCCCACCCATTCCGCAACCTTTATGGTGTCCATACGATGGATCCTGCCATTCTTTCATACATATGGTAGGCTGAGTTCATAGTGGGGCTCTTAAATCACAAGACAGAAAATTAAGCTAGAGCCGCACCTGTACTCTTGCCTCTTTGCACCAAATCCCATGTTTTATTTTGTCTTGCTTTGATTTAAAGTTCCATGTTCTTGCTCATGATACCAGTATTTGTCTATTTCATTTGTAATTTGTAGATGCCGATACATGTTTTGGTATTTCATTAATATTGCACAGATTTGCTGTTGTGGCCTTTTCATATTTTCCTCTGTTTCTGAGTCTCTAACATTGGACCTCATATTCATCCTTGAGTTAATATACTTCTCCTACTCCTTTATCAAATGTGTGTTGTAATCCTTTCCTTTATTGCTGACTAGTTTTAACAACACTTATCTTTTCTATGTAATGTCTGTTGCTGGCCTTGGCCTTGTGTATGAGTTCTTCTAGCTGTGAAGTGTCTGAAATTTGATCCCAGACCAAAAATGTGATATGAGTTCTTCTGGAAAAATCCTCTTYTCATTTTTTGCCATGATAAATCCGAGTGGTGATCAATCCAGTATATCCTATTTTATAGTCACTTTGCATCGGATTTAGTGCATTGATGCATTAGTAGAATTTATACAAATACTTTTAACCTTGGATGWTTCCTAGTGTAAGGAAAAAATATAATGATGCTGCCCATAATTTTAGCCAAATGAGCTCCTTGGAATAGYATTGACAAAAAAATTCAAGACTTTAAGCATTCTTCTGCCCTCTGTCCTGTGTTTTAGACTTCCATCCAAAAATGACAATACAAGCTAACCCATATAATGTATTTATCTGGTGCGGTTCATAATTATTTTCCACCAAGATTAATTTGTGATCCTGTTCCTCAAGAAACAATATTCCAAGAAATCTATGATATGGTTATTGGAACTTCTGTGTGGTTGTAACTGGAGTTGAGTTTGCAGCGATCTGGAGTTGGATATGGCAGTTGTTGGATTGGTATATGATCGTATATTGGTTGTCAGTCACCTCCACAAGTTGCTTGCTTATCATGGTGTATTTTGCAACTTGTAGCCCACCCATACAACCTGCTCATCTGTGAATATTTGTCATGCATGCCTAATTTTGACAATGAGTTGAGTTAGTAGTTTAATGTTTAAGAGATATTATTAGTTTTTTAAATTCTGAATTGGTGCTTATCATGGTTTATTTGGTAACTTATAAGCCTTTCTTGTTTAATTATTGGATGATGTTTGGCTGTTTGATTTTTGAAATATTAATGTGCCCTGCCAGTATTTGTAGTCCGATGCAAATTCTTACTGACAGGATATGTTCTTGACTTCTTAGTCTTTAACTAAAGAATTAAGAAAATGAACCGCCATGTTCTGGCAAATTTGTTCCACCACTGGTTAACTTGTATCTCATTTCTTTATTCTATTTGTTGTACAGACAGACTTCAGGTATCCACTTTATTTATTTATTTATTTAGGATGCTCAACCACAGTTTCCTCCTCCCATGTGGAGCTTAACTAGTTAGTCAAATTTTTACAGATTCCTTTGTCACATATTTCTGAGGATGTTTATAAGATCTCAAGCTTAACTATTTGTTGGTGACTAAATCACCCCCCAAATGAGTATGAAAGAACCTGTTCAGTGATTTTGTTGCATTTGGGAAAAGGAAATTATCAAAATAAAGAACCTGAAGGACCTTGGTTTCTTGGATCTAAAATTAAAGAAACTACAGCTGTCTTCCAATCTGAATTGCTTATTCAGTTGGATGATCTCCAGGTCTGCTAATAGTTTAGCAGATAGTCTAGCTTGGATGGGAGTTAACAGGAGAGAGCTATAATGGGGAATGCCGGGTCTAGGGAAAAACCTGTTGCCGTTTTATTTTTGGTACTGTAGGGAGGCTACAGAGCTGTTAGCTAATGGCTGTTGTATTGCTACTATCCTACTCCTATAAGTATGTTGGAGAGTAGTGTAGTATATATTTTCTTTCTCAATAATTTTACTCACTTGTCCCAGAAAAGACTGTTGTAAATGGACATGTGTAATGTAATTGCTATTCCCTGGCTATCTTTAATTTCTTCTGATAATGTTTTACTTCATGATTTAGCATTTTCACAGGTTAATGTTTAATTGATATCTTGAGTTGCAGGTCGCTGTGTTTGTAGTTTTAGCAATGGTTCTGCGACGTAAACCTGATATCTTAAATCAGCATATTGCCAGTACTGAGGGAGAATGTCAAGTATCAAGGGCAAGATAAATTTCCACTTCTTGTATGGATGATTGTTCAGGTAAGAATCGATAATTTGGTATATGGATTTTCAAATAAATTGTGTTTATATTCTCTTTATACCTGATACTGAAATTGATTTATTTAGGCTTGTCAAGGAGACTTGGTTGTAGGAATGTTTGCATGGGTACATAACCTCTTGCCTATAGTCAATGGAAAAAAACTGTAATCCACAATCCAGAGATTTGATCTTGCAGTTAGTTGAAAGGTGTGAATGTTTGATTGAAGTATAATCTTCCCATTAGTATATTGTGTTGTGGATCTGAAAGTTCCTTGTACTCTTTGATGCAGAATTTTGTCTGCCCCCAAAGCTCGGTCTATTTTATTGAATGGTGCTGTCAGAAAAGGGGAGCGGTGGGTGCCACCTTCAGCTTTTGAGATGTTGATGCAAAGCACTTTCCCTGCTCCTTCAGCTCGAGTTAATGTGGGTTTTGTTAGGAAGTATTTGTAGGATTCGATTATTGAAATGAAATCTGATTGGTCCTGTTATACTGCTAGGAGTTGTAGGCAGTCTTCTGAACTTGTTTCTGTACAGGATACTGAAAGGTTTGAGACAATATATCCCTCCTTGAAGGAGCTGGGACTTTCTGGTGCCCCTGGAAGTAAAGCAATGAAGCAAGTTTCTCAGCAAATACTCAGTATTGCAGTTCAAGCATCAGGGGAAAGTATGTTTCATTATTCATGGACACCCTTTATTGCCTTTTTCTTATGAGGTCAGATAATACCTCAGAGCTTGACACAGAAAACTCCCTTTTGCAGGCACTTCTGAACTATCCAAAGAAGCAGCTGCTGTATCTGAGTGTTTGACTCGAGACCCTGATTGCTACAAAATCTGGATAAGCAACTTGAATCATTAGTATTGCACTTCACATTTAGGGGATGGCTCATAGATTCTGTATCATGACCTTTGGTCTTTTTCTCGGTAACATGGTGGAAACAGGACAAGATTTACCTGGATAACATAGAGGCGAGTGTTGTCATGCTGCAAAAGCTGTCTGATGAATGGAAGGAGCATTCTATTAAACATTCTTCTCTTGATCCATTGAAGGAGACTCTCAAGAGTTTCAGACTGAAGGTAAATGAGGCTATAATTGTTTTCCTTTAAGTTATATTTATGTTAAAATAAGGAGCCACATTTGATTCTAAGAATTTGGTATGGTACTACCTACATAATTTTTCCTCATCATTTCATTGTTGTGTTTGAACTATTTTTTCACAATTCATGTCATTGTACATATTTTCATTAAGTAGTTATGGATAAAATATATTATAAGGTTAATTTGTCTAATTTTGATTTTTTTAGAATGTGAAAGTTTTGGCTAGTGGAGGGGATACTGGTGAGCAAGCTTCCATCAAGGACGCTGACAAGTACTGTAAGTCAATCTTGGGAAGAATATCACGTGGCCATGGCTGCTTGAAGAGTATGGTGGTGATTGGGGGAGTTGCTTTGGCTGTGGCCATCATGTCCCCAAGCATGGAGTTCTGGGATCTGAGCAAGCTACCTGTAATATTCAGTGCTCCAGAATCCATCTCAGCAAGTTGGTGGCTAATGGTGAATGACAGTAACAAGACTTTCACAACATTCGGCATAGGAAATGTAAGCAAGTTGGTCCACAAAGTAGGGTCAGAAAATGAGGTATCTATTATATAAGCCTTGCCAAGTATCATTGGCTTAATGATACTAGGATTAGGGGGAGGAGTACAAAGCTTCATGAAAGGACAAATTGGCTGACAAGAGTAAGGAGTGTTGATGAGAATGTTTAGTTCAGGATATCATTTGCCTTTTCTGTCTTTATTTTTAATGCATTACATATAGGAGTTTTTCCAAGTTAATTAATTACTTGTCTTCTATACATGTAAAAAAAAGGAGCCTTGGGGGATGGATTTGATGTTGACCTAATCTCCAGAACTTTTGCATGAAGGGGGCGTTCTTTTTTTGGATTTTGAGAGGGGGGAAAGTTGGTCATGGGATTTTGGTTCCCATTGACCAAGAATCCTATGTTCATTTTTCAGATTTATGTGGGGACCATGGAAAGTTTATTTTCCTGTGTATCACTTACCCGGGTAAGTGATACCCCATCTCCTAGGTGGGTAAATAACTTTCCCACCTAGGGGGAAAGTTGCTAACACTTGAATGGGACAAAAATGCCCCTTTTAATAATGGAATTTTATGGCTAAAATGGTCATTACCTTATTTACCTAGGAAATAAAAGAACATGGGTAAATGCACTTACCCAGGTAAGTGTTTCCCAGGAAAAACTTACCCAGGTAATTACATTTACCCGGGTAAGTAACTTACCGAAAAGTGAACAGGGCCAAAGTGTCTTCTCTCAAACTTGAATATTTGTTCTCTAGCTTGTCAATCTGAGGTTCTACCATTGCACCAAACACTTATCCTATCTCTTTTGGCAAAATTATTCATTGACCTTGGCATCCAGTGGAATGAGATGTTCATCCTGGATGCTGAAAGCTGAAGAACAAACCTCTAACAGATTCTGATATTGCCCTGTGGCACACCATGAGTCTGTCATCCATCAGAGTATGATCTTCCATTGTGATGGTTGGGTTACTCCATTACGACCTGGGTGACCAGGGTTCAGATCTTGGAAACAGCCTCTCTGTATGTAGGGGTAAGGCTGTGTATATCTGTCCCTCCCCAGACCCTGCATTGGTGGGAGCCCCGTGCACTGGGTTGCCCTTTATTGACCTTCTCTACCTAATCCTTTCAAATACAAGGCTGTGGCCTCCTCATGGTCACTAAATTGTTCATTGAGTAGGACCTGGAATGGTGGAACAAAAACTGAAGTGGGACTCATTGATTCTGATGGTTAAGCACCAAGTTCTATTTATGATATTATTCACTTACCATTGCAGCATCTAGTTATGCAATGCATTTGGATTACTAAGTAGTGAAAGTACTCAAATTTTCTGTATATGACTTTTTTTTCGTAGCTTCCTACTGGAAATGGCTAAGAAAAATGCTATACTAACTAGGATCTAGCTGAAAAACCTTATGCAATCGATGGGAAAAGATCTTGCTTACTATTGACAGACCCAGGAACCAGATTTCTGAAGTCTGTCTCTTAACTATTAATATGACTTTATGGATGCAAGTCAGGTACCCAACCTGAAGAATTTACACAGCATTGGTCCCAATCCCTTGGTCCAAGCCCATTCAAATTTTAAGAGATGTTCACTCCAAGTCTGCCCAACTTGCAGTCCCATGACTTCACTCTAAAAGTTGTTTTTCTTGTGAGAACTTCCCATCAACATTTTAACACTCTTCTGATTGCTAACAGAAATTGTATTGGTTTGAATGACTGGATGCCAAGAAGATACATACTAGCCCACAAGGTCACAAGTGCAATTGTCAACCCTGGCCCTGCAGGCATTATGGTGTTTTCAAGTCTAACAGAGGCAAAATTCTATAGGTGTCCAGTGGCCCTATAGGGGAAACAAACTCTACTAAAGCTGAAGTGCTTGCCACTCTAACTGGGTTATGATTGGCAAATCAACTTGGCTTCACTTTGTTACTAACTTACTAGCTCAAGGGGACTCCGCAATTACTATCAGCTGGTTGAAGTAATATCACGGTGGGTCTTGGAGGTTGGACCATTACCTCATAGAGTCTAGAGGCCTCTCCTCCACTCTGCAAGCCTCCTTTAAATGGATTCCTAGGGAGCTCAATGGTCTTGCTGATTTATTGGCAAAAAATTGGTGTGAATAGAACAGATCTTCAAAGCAGCACTGGAGTGCCTTGATTTTTTGTATAGAGCACTCCTTTTTTTTTATATATCCCTCTCGTTTATTGCAATATATAACATCTTGTTATCTTCTCTCAAAAAGAGATAGAGGTAATAGTCAATTTGGAGTTTACCAGCCACCGTATAATAGTAGAGTTTTAGGTGGTTAAATAAGTCTTACCACAACTATTCTAGCATTAGTTGAAGTCTTATATAGTGCTGTCTGAGTCTGGATTATTTTTATTTTAATATAGAGTCCTAGTTTATTTGGGTGTAGGTTCCTAAATTGTGCTTGAAGTAGGAGTCTAAGGTGGAGTTAACCTGTGATGCAAGTATATATCTTCGGTTAGGATTATTGCTATATCTTATTACAGTTGTTACATAAGTAGGATAAACAGTTAAGCCTATAAATAGAGGTCTTAGGCAGATCTTAGGTTGTTTGTTTTAAGAAGGAAATTTCCAACTCTTGCTTGGTAAAACAGGCTTTAACCTAATTAGATGTCTGAATCCATTAGAACAAGGGGTTAATTTCTTTGTGACATTTTCTTTTTCATTTTTTAACAAATAGAATCGTATATTTCTAGATTTGATGATTAACCTGTGCAAGTACATCCTTAGTATTGACATATGCAGATTGTGGAATAAACTATATTTTATTTTCTTTTCTAGGTTGGGGATGACTGTCGACAAGATGTGCTTGCTCTTCAAGTGATTTCAGTACTCAGAGATATTTTTGAAGCAGTTGGACTTAATCGCTACTTGTTTCCCTATGGCGTTCTTCCAACTGGTCCAGACTCCAAAGAGGGGCATAATCGAGGTAAACTTGTTTCCCCCACTTTATTGATGTGTGTCCAGGGACTGGTGGAGGAAGAGAGTGATGAAGATAGTGAATAGAAGAAACATAATGAAAATTGTAATTCTCATCTTACACTGCATGCCTGCATATGTGTTGCTATGTCTCAGTCAGTTATTTTTCTCTTTTTGATGCATTGACTAAATCATCGAGCAGAATGTATGTTTGTATATAACACCTTAGCTGCTGTAACAGCAAAAAGACTTCTTGATCATGGAGTTCCACCCTCACAGCTTTTATATATGCACTACATGATTGTCAAGAGCTATAGATGCCTCTTCTTCCTTTTCCACTCCCAACAGATCTCTTGTAACAGTGGATGATAATTGAAATTCATATTTTAGCATTGTCTAATTCTTATTCTATGTGTGGAACCATAAGACACCCTAACTTAAGTAATCTATCACCAGAAACCTGTTGGCCTACCAATTATTTACCTATAAACTTAACATGGTAAATCAACTTATTTTGATTTAGGATACCATAGCCAAACAAAGAGTAAACAGGATACAACTATTGTTCTGTTTGGCTTGGATGCATTTCATACACTTCCGTATCAGCAACTATTTAGACACATTGAAATTTGAAAAAGCTGACAGATTTTCTGAGGTCTCATATCCTTGTTATTATGAGAATATTTTAAAAATAAAGCCAAAAAACTTTAAATGCCCAATCAGCATGCACCTCCACCGAAACAGAAGGGACATCAACCTATAATCTGAATCCTGTATCATGTGCAACTCTGACAGATAAACATCCAACCATCCATTCCTACAATGCCCAGTGGTGAGGGGTGTCTACTCTCACTTATGCAGTTTGACCAACCTGGATGGGTGTATTCCAAAGAGGGTAGCAGAGACCATTTGAGATCTTGGAAGGTAACAGGAATGAGTAGAAAAGGGAGGAGCCTATGGTGCATCATACCTGTTCCAGTAACATGGTGCATATGGAAAGAGAGAACTCAGAGAATATTTGAGGCTAAATTCTGTTCTGTGGAATATGTTTTCACTTATGTAATATGTTTTCACTTATGTATAGTGTGACGCACTGTACATTCTTATATCTCTAAATCCATATATCACTTGAAGGAATTAGTACAATACCTTCTGCTCAAAAAAAAAAAAAGCATATCTCTAAATCCATATATCACTGTACATTCTTTATCTCTAAATCCATATATCACTTGAAGGAATTAGTACAATACCTTCTGCAAATATGTGATTCCGTTCCTCAAGAAACAAGTATTATGTATCAGGAAGTTACCCATCTAGGCGATTAGATGTCCACTTAGGCAATAACAAAAAACCCAAACGAATCTCACTTTCCATGCACAGGTAACATGGACACAACCTAAAGAAGTTTCCTTGGCTCCTCAGAATTCATTTCTTTCCAATAAACATCCTAATAGTTCTTTAAGATTCTATGGAAGTGCTTCTACCCCATAGAACAATGGACAAACCCCATAAACTCTTAAAACTTATTAACCAAAAGAAACATCAATAAACTTTTCAACAGAGATGCTTTCTGTTGAATGATATCTCAACAGAAAGCTTGACAATGATATCTCAACAGAACAATGGACTAACCATATTGACAATTGAAACTCAATTTCAACAGAGATGCTTTTTGTACTCAAGGCGTAGAGGTTGGCACTATCTATAGACAATGAGAGATTGGAGATTGAAGAAGACTCCTAAGTGATAATTAAATGGTTGAGGGATGAAACTGCTAGTTTAGACATACTTTCACCTATCAAATTCAGCATGAAAGATAGGATGGACCTAGAGCTTTTGGCCTTACCTACGATGAATGGACATGAAAGAAGGGAGTGGAATCGTGGTGAGAAATTTCAAGGGTTCCCTACCTTTGGTGTTAAGGCTTGATGCCTCAATTGAGGAGAGAGAAAGAGAGAGAGAGAGAGAGAGAGAGAGAGAGAGAGAATTTGTTGATTATTTGCAATGGATAGATGCTAAGAAAACGGAACTAAATAACAAACCGAACACACCTGAATTGAAAGGTTCAAAACTTTGGTCCTTAATGATCAGTGTTCTTTGAACAGGTTAGAAGTAATGGAAGGGGAAGGCATTCAAGATCTTATTATCAATAAATTTGATAGTTTTGTAAAATCATTGTTTTATTAATTTTGGTAATCTTACAGAAAACTAATATAATACAATTTTGTTAATTTACAAAATTAATATTGGTGAATTTGGACAAATTAATTTTGATAGATAAGTAATTAATTGTGGTAAGCTATTTTTTTTCAATTTCGTAATTAATTTAGAAATATTATTTTGGGTAAATTTGGTAACTAAAGTTTGTAGATTAGTTTTGGTAATTCTGTAAAATTAACTTAACAAAAAATTAATTAATAAAAAATTGTAATTTACCAAAAGATTAGTTTTGGTAAATTAATATTGGTTAATTATGACAATTTATTGAAAAATATTAATTTTATCAATTTAATAAAAAAATAATTTCTGTAAATTAATATTGATTAATTATGAMAAATTAATAATTTATCAAAAATTAAAAGATAATTTGTTTTTTGACTAATTTATTTATTAATCTATATTGAAAAATAAAATATCAATAATTCAATTGTCAAAAAATTAATGAAAATTATTACATTTTTAGAAAATTGTTGATTAATTTATATTTGAAAATAAAAGAAAATGAATTGTGATTAATTTTTAATGAAAGATAAAATATAAATTATTAAATTTTAAGAAAATTATTTAAAATTAATACATTTTTCAAAAACATTATTGCAATAACTATTGAAAACAAAAGATAAATTATTTCATTGACAGAAAAATATTGATAAATTAATACATCTTCAGAAAAAATATTAATGAATTTATATTGGAAAATGGAAGATAAATTATTGTATTTTAAAAAATAATTATATAAAATTGTTGAATTTTCAAAAAATTCTTGATTAATTTATATTATAAGAAAGAAGGTAATTAATTTCGATTAATTTATGATTCATTTTTAAGGAAATAAAAGTAATTTATTAAATTTTCATTAAATTATTGAAAGTTATTATACTTTCAAAAAACTAATTATTACATATTCAGAACATTATTGAATTAGTTAATTTGGAAAATAAAAGATAATTAATTTGTTGATTAATTTTTATTGATAAATAAAAGATAAATTATTAAACTTTCAAAAAAAATTGAAAATGATTACATTTGTAGAAAATTAATTAACTAAAATATAAGATAAATTATTAAATTTATTATTGAAGCTCGATAGTCTGCAAATAACATGTTGATGTTGCAAGTAACACTGATATGGCAGTTTCGTAGTGGCATTGTCCCCCAATTTCGTTACTTTCACTCGTACGTTACTTGCACTTGGGCTTTTGGCGTTTTACTGCTTGTCTTGCTTCCCCGTCTCCTCCCGGACCAATCACAGTATTCATCAGTTATAGGTCCCACCAAAAGAAGAAGAAGATTAAAAGATGATTTCTTCCAAATGTGAAATGTCTTTCACCTCCTTTTTGGTCCGCACTATTTCATTAATGCTATCTTCCCACTTTCGTTTCCTCTTATCTTGTCTCTCAAGTCTGAAACTGGGCGGTCAAAGGTTCTGGTGCACGCCACGGCCAGATCGTGTGAGTCGTGGCGTGAAATGTTGTAACCGGAAGTGCATGCCAGGATATCGGTCCATAGAAAAATCCTTTTCTTTTTGGCTTGGCTACTATTTCATACACTCATACCTGCAGGGTAGAGTGACAGTACAGACATTAAAACCCTAAAGAAGACGTTGTTGGATTGGGGTATTTGAACAAATCGGGGATGTGCAAAAGTTAGAAATAAAACACTATATTTATCAAATATATATATATATATATATATATATATATATATATATATAAAACTGTATATTAGCTTTAGATTGGGTGGTGTTATGGGCATGCCAGCCGGAAGCACACTGCGGCGCAGTCATAAGGCAATAGCACGCACAGCGGGCCGCCCAGCCGCACGCACCGCCTGGCAGCGTGCAACACGCACCTGTTA